CCTCGAAGCCGTGATTGGTCGAGCTCTAGGAGCTCTAGGGTGTTGGCGTAGAGGATGTTGAGACCACTGCCTCCGTCCATCAGCACCTTGGTGAGCCGGGTGTTTCCGATGATCGGGTCGACGACGAGCGGGTACTGCCCGGGGTTCGAGACATAATCGGGGTGGTCATCCTAATCAAAGGTGATCGCCTCCCAAGACCAGTTGAGGTACCGGGGAGTGGCCACCTTAATCTAGAAGACCTCCCTACGCTCTTTCTTTCGCTGACGCGCCGTGAGGCACGCTGAAGGCCCGCCAAAGATCATGAAGGTGTTGTGCACCTCGAGGAACCCGTCGTCCCTGTCGTTGTCCCTATTGCCGGCGTCCTTCTTCTTGGCCTCGTCGTTGGGGAGCCCAAGCTTGGCATAGTAACTCCAGAGCATGGTGCACTCTTCGAGGGTATGCTTCACCGGGCCCTGGTGGTAAGGGCAGGGCTTCTTAAGCATGTCGTCGAAGAGCCCAGGGCCTCTGGCGGGGCCTCGAGGATTCTTGCGATCTGTGGCTGCGACTAGACCGTCCTTGAGGACCTCCTGCTTCCCCTGGCGACCCTTTTTCTTTTTCTTGGGGAGGTGGGGGTCGAGGCCCCGGGGGCCTCGTCCCTCCGCTTCTCCTTGGCGTCATTGTCGGGGAAGATGGCCCCGACAGCCTCTTCGCCCGAGGCGAAGTTGGTGGCGATGTCGAGGAGTGCGGCCGCCGTGGTCGGTACGTTCCGGCCTAACTCTCGGACCAGGTCTCGGCATGAGGTGCCGGAGAGGAATGCTTAGATAATTTCCGAGTCGCCGACGCGGGGCAACTCGGTGCATTGCTTGGAGAAGCGTCGGATGAAGTCTCGGAGAGACTCGTCCGGCTTCTGGCAACAACTCTTGAGGTCCTAGGAGTTCCCAGGGCACACGTATGTGCCCTAGAAATTCCGGACGAAGACCTTTACCAAGTCGTGCCAGTTGTGGATCTGCAAGGGAGGGAGGTGTTCGAGCCAGGCTCGCGCTGAGTCTGACAGGAACAAGGGGAGGTTACGGATGATGAGCAGGTCATCGTCCATGCTGCCTAGCTGACAAGCCAGGCGGCAATCGGCCAACCACATCTCAGGGTTGGTCTCGCCGCTGTACTTTGTGAGGTTGGCCGGTTGCCGAAACCGAGCAGGGAAGGGAGCGCCGCGGATGGCCTTGAAGACTCGAGGGCTGGGCAGCCCAAAAGAAGGACTGCGGTCCTCCCCACTATTGTAGCGGCCGCCTCGGTGCGGAAGGTAGCCTCGGGCGGGCCCATCGTTGTCGTGGCACCGTCGCCTGCTGACCACATCGTGGTCGCCTTGTGCTTCATGCCGGTCGCCGAGGCGGTTGTGCACCGAGGGGGCCTTGTTGGCAGTTGGTGTCCAAGCAGGCTCGGGATGAACCGAGGCCTCTCTATCCTGCCGATGCAGTGCCGTGGGTAGTTCCGAGGCGCCCCCGCACCGTCGAGAGGCGGAACTTTTGGCCTGTTGTACCGTGGCAGTCTCGAGGAGGTCTCGGAGCTCGCCGTGGACCCATCGCCCCTCTGAGGTAGAGGGCTTGGGCATTGTCTGGAGTAGCATCGCCGCTGCCATGATGTTCTGGCTAGCGCAATTGAAGATAGGGGGTTGCTCGCCCCCTTTATCCTTGTTGATGCGGTGGTTGACGTCGCGAGCCCTCCGCCGGGCTGCTCCACCATCACCGTGACCCCGCTGCTCTTGCTCGAGAGTGTCTCGGAGCTGCTGCAGAAGGAGTCGGTCTTGTTCGACCTTGGCCTGAAGCTCCCGGAGCTGCTCCAAGTCAAGGCGTCGAAGTTCCTCGTGGGCGGGGTTCTCGTTCTGCGCTGCTGGGGGTTCGACGCGTGGAGGTGTGGCGTCGCCTGCCCGCTCACGGAGCAGGGAGTGATTGCCTGCCCCTTCGTCCTCATTGCTCGCTCTCGGCATCCCGAGCTCGACGATGAAGCACTCACGAGTGGGATCGTAAGTGCCTTCGTCATCGGAGTCGGAGTAGCCGAAGCAGTAGTCGCTCGCGGCCATGAAGCGGCGCACGGCTTTAGGGTCGCGAAGCCTGGAGAAGTCCGCTTCGGCCCACGCCTCGTCCTCCTCCGAGGAGTCAGCGTGGGTGTGGGTCGAGGTTGCGGCGAAGAGGTCGAGGGCGAAACGTTGGTGGCGTCCTGAGGGCTTTGCATGAGCGGAAGCGTAGGCAGAAGCCTAGGCGGCGATGGCATTGCTCAACCCGAAGGGGTACGGGGATGGTGCCATTGCCGGGTTCCGCTCCGCCGGAGTCGATTCCTTAGGAGGTGGCAGGGCAGAGCTTGATGACGGGGCGTTGCTGCGCGCCACCGACGTCTTTCCCTTGCCCAGGCTTAAGCTGGACAGGTCCCCAACCAGGGACTCTGTACCAACAGCCGGGTGTGGGATACTGGCAGAGCGCGGTGCGTCGCCCTGAGCTCGTAGGGTGTCAGGGTGGTCCCGCCCATGTCGTACCTGGCAAGCGTGACGCGAGCGGCGGCTCGGGCGCCGTCTGCGCCTGGGCTGCTGGTACATGATGTCATCGTCGGTCGGTGAGGTTCTGGGTGTAAGGAGTACCATATCGTAATCACATCCTAGAGACATGAACTCTAGGCTCCCGAACCAGATCACCATGCCAAGACGCAGTGGTCGCACGAGGTCTGCCATCCGGAACTTGTTGGGATGATTAAGCTAACACGCAGTATGTCCCCTACCTGGCGCGCCAACTGTCGGTGTTTTGGACCGGCGGGTCCTCAACCAACGAGTGAAAATGTACTGCGTGTCCCTAATCCCGGATGGTGATGCAAAGAGATACAAGGTTTATACTGGTTCAGGCAATAGGTGCCCTACGTCCAGTCTGAGAGAGCGATCTTGTATTCCTTGCACCGTGGTGCTTGTAGTAGGGGTTTACAAGCAGGGCAAGAGAGGGAGTTAGTCCCAGGTCTCTGCGTGGAGCGGCGTGGGTTGCTTGAGATGTTGATCTCTTGCAGTGAGGGAGCGTGCGTATTACAGAGTGTTGCTCGTTGCTTGCGCGTGTGTGTCTATCTGAGCGATGTCTCCGTGAGTGCCCCCCTAGAAACGGCCTCGGTCACTCCCTTTTATTGTTGAAGGGGAGGACAGGGGCGATACATGCGTTCGCTATGTGGCGTTTTTGTGGGTGGAGGCGGTATGTCCGAGCCCTGTGCTTGTCACTATGGCGGCATGGTCGACGGAGCGGTCTTGTCCTCGGTGCACTGGAGCGACGCGCCGGTCACGCCCGATCCTGTGCGACGTGGGGGCTCCTGTGATGGCTTGACGCAGGGCATGATGCAGACTGTGGACGACATGCCGGTCGCTGTATGTCGATAGCGTAGAGAGCCGAGGCCTCGTCGGTGCAGAAGCCGAACCATTGTGGGGGGCTCGGCGGGCGTGAGGTCCCGAGGCTACAGGGGTGCGGAGGCGGGTAGCCGAGGCTTGGAGGGAGCTGTTGGTCTTTTATGCTAATTCCGAGGCTACAGGGACCCGGACATAACTCTCCACGCCGCACTGTCCTCGGAGCAGGTGGGGTTAGGTAGCATAGTGCCGCATGGGTGTCAGTCGTGGGCACAGTGCTGAGCACAGCGGCCGGTAACCCCTGCCCCGTCCCGTCCCGAACGGCATGGCGTTGATGCGACTCCCATCTCGTCGGTCACTCCGCTGTGTCGAGCCGTCGTTCGGCTGACGTCGCGGGAGTGGTTGGTTGCGTTAGTTGGACGTGACGTCCCGGTCGAGGCGGCGGTGACGGGCAGCTGCCGAGTCGGCCTCGAGCGAGGCGGAGAATCGGTACCTCGTCCGGGGCCTTTCGGGCGGGGCCTCGGGCGAGGCGGAGAATTGGTACCTCGTCTGAGGCCTTGCGGCGTGGGCCTCGGGCGAATCGGAGAATCGGCCGAGGCCTCGTGGTTGTCTCTTGGCTTTGATATTTACAAGGTATAAGTAATTTTTTCGGTTCTTACTTAGGGTACCCCTTTTTATGGTATCCGACAATCCCAATCGTAGGACCTCACCAGTTTGAGGCTGATCGGACGGTCTGACCCTGCCTGTTCGACAGACCACTGGTACTCAACAACACCTGTATACTTACACTTCAACACATATGTTCTATACTATTAGCCCATATGTGTTGTACATCATCATGCACGTGTTCAATCATAGCATTTCTAGCATGGTCCTTTTATTGTACTCATTTGCATCATGCATCCATAGGTGAGGAAGCATGCGAGGAAGAGGAGACTCTGAAGAACAACATGACCACCGAGCCCGACGTTGTACCACCACCGCTTGAGAAACAATGCAAACTCCTAAGCATCTCTCTTTTGCTAAATGCATAAATTGACTAGTGATAAGTATCACACTTGTGTTACAATATGACTAGTGACCTATGATGCCTATTTGAGCTAAGTACCTTGTGATTGATCCATACGCCTTGTATCGCGATTGTTTACTTTCACTTGCTGCGTAACCCATGTTTAGCATTGCTTATAGAAAGGTAGAAGTCATGAAGGTGATGGGGTTTTCACCTCTTGCATGCTATAGGACTTGCTTGTCCACTGAAAGGACCGAGGATGTCGCTTAGAGGGCTATCTCCTCATGTGTCCTTTATATAATGTTTGGCATTTGCTACCTAAACAATTCGTCCATTCTTTGATGTGAATCCCTGGCCTTAAATAGCATGAGCCCCAATTTGGTACCCGGTTTTCTTTTATTTCATTAATTATTTTTGCAATAGTCTTGCATTGTGATGAAATATTAAGCAAATTCGTTGTGTTCAAATAGTGTGTAGCTGTTTCCTGACTACCCAAACAGCTTGAGAGGTTTTCTTATGCACAAGAAAATACAAGTGTAACATAACTATTATACATGTGAAAAGCATGGCATGACATCCAAACAGGGCATATGATATTTTGCAGATATTTGCCACATTTTTATTACAAATGGATGGAACGAATGAAGACTAAACTTGTGCATAGACGGACCTACATCCAGAATGCCACGGGGTTTTTGTACACGGTCAACACGTTGATGCGCGACCTCATACGAGAATGATGCGTACGCGCGATGTCGGGTGGTGGCGACACACGGCTCTCCCTCCTTATCGTACTTGAGGAAGAAGCGAGTCATCTTTACCAGGCGGGTGCGCGCGTACGCGTCGCAGTCCTGCCTCTCGACCATGCAGAATCTGCTATCGCCCATGTACACGAGCGTGGCGCCCAGATGTTGGCGGGTGTCCGTCGTTTCGAACAACACGTCCTGGCCGAGCTTGCAGGCGGGCATGGTGGTCTCCCCGCCGCCACCGCCACTGGCGCCGTCGTGGGGCGGGACGGCCGGGACGTCGCTGCAGCAGACGCGCCCGGCCCCTTGCTTGTAGAGGCAGAGCCCGACCCAGGCGTCCAGCTCGCGGTCGTAGTGCGCCTGGCCTTTGAACGGCAGGAGCCACTCTACGACGTGGGTCCACTGGTGGCGCTCCATGTCGAAGGTGAAGGTGCTCTGCCGGCAGTCGAGGTAGTGCGAGCAGATCTTGCCGGGGATGTCGGGCCTCCAGTCCTTGACGGACACGAACACGGTGCGCCCGTCCGGGTGCACCGCGTAGCCGCTGACGACGCTGGACACGAACGGCGGCGGTGGCTCGATGCTGGCCCACGACCACGACTCATCGGTGGGCCGCGGCAGATCGGGGCCGAGCATCTCGACGAAGGGGTAGACGAACGCCAGGAGCCTGCCGCCGGCGGAGATGTACAGGGGCCGGCTTCCGAAGTCCCCGTGTAGAGAGCTCTGCGGGTGAGGCCACACCGCCATCCCCATCGTCTCGGTGTCGAACACGGGGATGCCGGGGCTGTACTCCGGGGGCTGCATCGCCAAGATCTTGCGCCCGTGCGCGGCGAAGGACCACGAGTGCGGGTGCAGCGCCCCCATGCGGACGACCGGGCGGGCGGCGTCCATGCCGCCGCCGGCGTTCGGGTCCGCGCCGAAGTCGTCCGCGTCGAACCTGTGGACGCTGTAGCCTCTCTCCCAGTCGTCCACCACAACGTACAGATGCTGCTGCATCGCCGACATGGCAGATTCAGACAGATAGGCAGAGCAGCGACCCAAGCAAGGCCTATTCGAAGGCCGATTCCCTGATCCTAGCCTCTCAGGTTCGTGGTCGTCGTCGCGCGGCCGCTTCCGCTTCCGCTTCCGCTTAGACATGTTCGGTTGCTCACCCGTCGGCCTCGATCCCGCCCTCCTCTCTCTCTTCTTCTCCTGTCTGCCACACAGAGGACATAATCGGTTCAGGAGATCAGGTAATCCGTCTGTTTTTTTAGGAGAAAGGTAATCCGTCTGTTTAAATAATCGGTTGTGGAGATCAGGTAATCCGTCTCGGATTCGAATTATCCTCGAATTCAAAAACGAAGGCGAGAAAAAGGAAGCATCCTAACCGACTCTCAGACTCAGGTTAGACTCAGGTCGGACTCGGACGGGACTGTGTATCGGTGGTCGAGCTCAGGGAGTTACCAAACTCAGGTCTCAAGTGACAGATGAAAAGAGACAGGAGCTCGTGGCGTGGTGATGAAAGGATGGCGCAGACTGCGAACGCCGGCGGGAGAGGGCAACACGCAGGGGATTGGCGGCGCCGCAGCGTCCTGGAGACTGGCAGCAAGTTAGCGCAAGCTCCTGGCGGCGGCGAGTTCTTGCGTTTTGGTGAAGAGCAGCGGGCCTTCATAGGGTTTCCACGACCATTTTGGATCCTCTTCAATCCATCAATCCATCTGATCTAATCTAACTATATAGTTCATATCCACTATCCATTTACTTTTTCTAAAGCTCGCTCCACAGCGTGCCACATATCATATATTTAATAGTATGATGGTCCATTTTGTTGTTTTTCCTCCCATCCTTAATACCACTTTTACTCCATTGTTCTCCCACGCACTCGGCCGAGTCCTCCGCCCACATCCCACCAAGCCATCACGACCAAATAATTGATTCCTTCCATAAACATGCATGCATGCAAGTTAATTAATTTAAATTCTCTCATCATCTTTCCGCCCACGTCCCGAGCATCTCTAAAAGTACCCAATATTTTCTTCCTAAAAACATGAAAATTTACAACTCCTAAAAAGATATTAAAAAGAATAAAGAAGGTTATCTCCAAAAATTTCTAATAATCTACTCCTTAAATATATGGCAATTTTACATCAGGAATGTTATACTATTTTTAAATTATCCTAACCACTTTTATATATTATTTCTCTCTTGTACATTTACATCAGGAACCCTTTCCTACTTTTTATTCTTTCCACACCCTTTTAGCTTTAGATTGCCCGACAAATACGTGCGGGAGAGAGAGATACGCGCGACTCTAAAGCGGAATATAGTGATTTTTTCCAAGTTCTAAATGATTAGGATGATGGATTATAAGTTGTTGGATAGGGATTTTTTCTCATCTTGCTAAAAAACAAGGATTAGGAAGGGATTTAGTGAACTCTTGAAGATGCTCTAATGTGTGCTGTCTCTTTATATCCTGTCATTGTAGTCTTCTGGACAGATGAGCAGTCCCATACCCCCAGTCTGTTCTATTTGCTTGGTGTTCACCTACGAATTCCTCAGTTGATTCACCTCCTGCCTCTCACACTCTTGCAGTGCATATATGTTCTAGCTAGATGCCTTAGCCGCCATCAGTTCGTGTCCTTCCTTCATTATCAAGATGACACGGCCTTATTAGTATGTGGTCAATCTTATGTTCATTATTGCACTTATTCAATTTGATATAGAAGAGTATTTTTTGGCATGCCAGCTTGCCAAACATAAATAGGGGATATATATGTTCGCAAGCAAAATTGACAAGTTGTATGCAATATGAAAATACCGGATGTTTCAGTATTGCATACCAGATGATTTACTTTAGGGAATATTCAAATCATTGATTGGATTCCACCATTGTGCTCTCTTTGTCGAGACAATAATCGAAATGCATATCTGGAACGTCCAGTTTAGAATCCAAGTGCAAGAATTACGACCCCTGAAGATTTCCTCCCTGACAATGTACCGAATGGTCCGGTTTGGACAGTCCAGATCGAGTTTGAGTCGGTTTTAATTGTAAATCTTCATGTACTTGGAGTCTAACTCGAAGATAAACATCCCACCCTATAAATATGCCCCGAGGATACAGGGTGGTCGATATAGCGTACGGAAGTTCGGTTTTCGCTAGGATGCTGCAAGGAGCGCCTCTACGAGCTGCACGCACCAGTACAGAAATGATTTGTAGAGATGCCTCTTTTTTCTAACAGAAGCTGTTGTCTTAGCACGTCGTCACTAACATTTGCGAGATGCACTATAGCTATACAACCGTTGCTAAAAATCAATTTTTAGAGACGGTTTCATTAAGAAATCCGCCTCTAAAAATATTTTCATTTTTTGCGCCGGTTCCGTTAAGAGAACCGCATATGAAAATGCTATTTTCAAGGATGGTTCCTTATGTCAACCGTCTCTGAAAATGAGTGATTTTCATAGACGGTTGACTCTTAAAAATAGATACAGCACAAATAAATTCATATTTTTTTAAATAAAGTTGGATGAAGACAAACTTTATATCAAAATTATAGAGTTCAACGAGATCTAAAACTTTGTAGTTGATAAAATTTTTGTTTGAGATCATTTATGGTTCCAAATATATAAATTAAGTCTTAGATTTTGAATTTCAAATTTTTGAATTTTTCAAATGACCTTGGATGGAGAAATTTCTATATCAAAGTTATAGTGCTCGACGAGATCTAAAATTTTGTAGTTGAAAGTTTTCTCATTTAAGATTGTTTATTAGTTAAAATATTAATTACAAGATTCATACATATTAGTACAAATAGAAAGCACCGTAGAATTAAACATAAATGACTGCGTGGTGCGGTGGTGGAAGGGAGGTATCACGCAAGGGAGAGGTTGTGGGTTTAAATCCCAGGTGTCGGCACTTATTCAAAAAATGAGTGAAAAATCATTGGGCTACATTAGAAATATTTTTTAAAGAGGCGGTTGTCTCAACTGTCCCTAAAAATAAATTTTCAAATTTTTTAAAAATCATTTAGAGTCTAATAAAAATAGAGGTGGTTGTCTTAAGAGAACCGTCTCTGAAAAATCGATTTTTAGAGGCGGTTTTAAAACCGTATCTGAAAATCACTTATTTTTACAATCGCAGGCATAGTAGCGGTTTTAAAACCGTCTCTGAAGACCATTTTTGACCGTCACTAGAAATGTTTTCTGTACTAGTGACGTGGGCGTACTCATATGTAACGGTGTGTTTTAGTGTCAACACCGTTACTGCTCTTCAAATTACTGATACTTGGTAGCTAGTGTTAATTGTAGGCTCTATTCGCTTGAACTACTTCAGCAGCACTTTTTAACGAATGAACCGTGTTTTTTCCTCACAATAAATCAGCATAAGCCAAATTTCAGCGAAACAAACAGGGCCGTCTCAAATTTCAGTTCTAGTGATCTAGAATGAACTGTGAGGCCTGTTCATTACTCGATGCTTTGCCATATTGCCATTGATGCTGGTCATTGGTCAACAGCGGTACAATAGCTTGAACTGAAAATACTTAGCCGCATTCTGTCTGAGTTCTTGCAGGTGGAGAACGCAAAATGAGGACCACTGAGAATATAAAGAGTTGCTCCTCTGTTGGTATAGTGTTGCTGGCCGTTGTTGCCATGTTGGCTACCATTGTTGTTTGACTTCCAATCCATGTGTTTTGTGCAGGCATGATCACTGGCGGAACCAGGGGGGCAAGTAGGGGCCGTGCCCCCCACCCACCCCCCCACCCACCCCAAGCACAGTGATTTGTTTTAAATACCTATAGAAAATTCGATTGCATAGTTAAAAATATTATTATTTCACTCTATAAATATATGTGCAAGAACGTTTGAAAAGCTATTGAGACATACATTTATTGTCCATATTTATCATGTTTACTAGGTGTCATCGTATTGTCCTGCCCCCCTTATTCAAAAGTTCTGATTCCGCCTCTGGGCATGATTTGAGTGTGCAAGTATAATTTGAAGTGATAGCCAATGAGCTGCCTCTAAGCGCATAAATGACTAGAACGAGCCACAAACTACTAAAATGTTTTTGAGACCGTTTCATGTGCACGGAGTTTATTCTGTGACTAAGGCCCTGTTCGCTTTTCTTATAATATGTACTTTTTAGCTTATTTTTTTCAGCCGGAAGAGTATTTTTCTCACATAACAAATCAACCGAAACAGTGTTTCAGCTTGTTTTTTCAGCGAAGCGAACAGGGCCTAAATATTTAGTGCTATAGGTCTGTTTGGTAGAGCTTATCTACCTCCTGATTCTATGTAAAAAGTTATTCTGCACTAGAAATGATTATTGCCCTGTTCGCTTGGCTGATAAGCCATGACTGAAAGTGCTGTTGGCTGATTTGTTGTGAAAGAAAAATACTGTTCGTTGGCTGAAAAAGTATGGTTTATAAGCCAAACGAACAGGGCGTATCTATGATTCTATAGAATCAGGAGAAGATGTTTTTAGCTCCAGCCTCCTAATTTATTTTAGAGGATAATTTCACCGGAATCAACATGAGTCACTTTACTGTTAAGAAGTGTTTGGCACTGTTTTTTTAGCTCCATCTTCCTAATTCATTTTAGAGAATAATTTCATGAGATCAACACGAAAAAATTCTATGTTAAAAAGTGTTTGGCATAGCTTTTCTTATATTCAGCCCAGAAACTGCTCTAAAAGCTTTGCCAAATAGGTTCTTTTGCACTTGTGAGGAACAACAATATGATTTATTCAAATAGACCCTTTCGCACTTGCTGTGAGGAACAACAATATGACTTATTTGAGACGACGTGGTTGTCTCTATTAATGAGGATAGAAAAATCCCACTTATGTTCCGGCCAAACCAAACACAACACATTTAGAGAGGGAGAGCCTTATTTTGACCTCCCTCAACTACCGATGTTGTTCGATTTTCCTCTACATCCTAAACTGTCTAATATTGGACAAATCACACTCAAAATCCATGTATCGCATAAGAAAGCAGTGAAAGCGCCCAGTATGAGACAATGTCACAAGGGTAATCAAATATAGCCATCTAGTATGCCCCGTTCGCTTCGCTGAAAAAACAAGCCAAAACACTATTTCGGCTGATTTATTGTGAGAGAAAAACACTGTTCCGGCTGAAAAAACAAGCCGAAAAAGACGG